CAGTCCAGATGTGAGAATGGGTACTGATTCCAGCCCTGTGTGTGTGTTAGATACTGTTTCCCTCTATTCCTTTTGGATGGTTCTTTCCCCAGTTTTGGATTGTTTCCTTACAGTTATGTGCTTATTAGTACTCTGCTGAATACTCAAGAGGGACTGTACAGATCTCTGGGATTCTTCTTCAATGCAATTATTTCCTCTAATAGTCTATCTTATCAACTCTAGCTGTCTTGTATCCTGGACCATCAGCTCCAGCTTCACAACTCAGCTAGGCTGACATGTTCTTCCTCAGTTTTCCCTCCCTGAGCTGTAGTATGGAAACTCTCTCAAAGCAGTAATCTGAGGCATTTGTAAGATTTACCTCATTTGTTTCCCATCTTTCAGGGATCACTGTCTGATGGGAATTTTTGCATCCCCCTAAATTTGTATGTTGAAACCCTATCCACCCCCATGTGATGATATTTGGAGATGGGCTTTTGGGAAGTAATTAGGAGAAGGCATGAGAGTGGAGTCCTCATGAACAATTAGTGCCCTTATAAGAGTCAAGAGAGAGCTTGTTTCCTTTCTCTGTTCTCTTTCATGTGAGGATACAATGAGAAGTTGATAGTATGCAACTCAGAAGAGGGCCCTCAGCAGAATCTGACCACATTGGCACCCTGATCTTAGACTTCTAGCCTCCAGAACTGTGAGAAATAAATTTCTGTTGTTTATAAGCCACTCATTTTATGGTACTTTGTTATGGCAGCCCAAGCTGACTAAGACATTGTTCATTATTTGATTGTCTTGAAAAGTGTTGTTTCATGCATTCTTGTCTGGTTGTTGTTATTGTCATTGCTTCAGGTAGGAGGGTAAATCCAGTCCCTGTTACTCTGTCTTGTCCAGAAGTGACTTTAAAAAGCTTTTGACTATTCTTGTAGTCAGTTCTGATATAACATGACATATACATTCCTAAAAATCACCACACTATGCAAAATTATGCAATAAAACCCCATTTTACTCAAGGGAAAATGAGGTTATGAGCACAACACCAAAAAATTCTGACATACTAAACAAAAGACAAGGACTAAATAAAAATGTAAGTACAGTTTTTTAACATGTTAAATGACTAATAAATACATAAATACTATAGTAAACATGGCACTTTGCCTTGTGAAAAACCTGAAATTTACTTGTGGAAGGGCATGCTCTTCCTGCCAGCCTGCCCCTCCCACTCCCAGCATGCTGTATGTGTGAGGAAGAGAACAAAAGAGATTTTTAAAAAGTGAAAATAATTGGAGATTAAAAAGAAAAATAACAAATCTGGACTATTCCTTAACTTTCTTCTGAGTGGACAGACATTGATAATCCCAGGGCAATGTGGGAGAGAGACAACAGAAATAACTTAAACCTGTCTTTTCCTGACCTATTCTTTCCCTGTTTTCTGTGCTTGGACTGCAGCTACTTTCTTCCCTAC